CTCAGACCTGGAGTGACGAGTTCTGGAAGACCTGGATTGAGTATCGCCTGTCCTGAGGCTTCTGCTCTCTCCTTGCGAGGGTGTGGTATTCCTACTACGATTTTTTGAGTGGCGAGGGGGCGTCTTGTTTTTGCGCCCCTCTCCTGTCGCCACTTCTTTTCTCTTCATTTGGCGCTTCAAGGCCTCCATATCCGCCGCCATCTTCCTTATTAATTCATCTTGCTCCTTCACGCGGTCCTTCAGAACTTGAGGATCAATCCTCCGCCTTTGCCTGTCAGGACTTTGTGAATAAGAGTGATGGGGGCTGTGAGTCCGCCTCCCCCTAGTATCTCTCCTGGAGTTATGTCGTTGGGGCTCCAAGTCCGTCATGGGAGGGATAGAAGGTAATCCTTCACGCCTTGCACCCCCATCTGGTGTTTGCCCGTCGATGGCGGACTGTGGTAATTCCTCAATGTGCGCCATTGTTCCTAAAGAGGTAAAGCTTGATCAAGAGGTTTTGTCCTGTCTGTTTTTCCCACAGACGGCGCCAATTGTACGGGAAAGAAATAAACCTTTTTGTATAATCCTGTTGATCAAGTCTGCGCTCCTCTGTACGTCGTCGCTTTATCACCTGAAAACACAAACGTGGGCTAGCCGGTGGGTGTGTGCCGGAAACCTCTCCGATGCCTAAGTCAGTAAGCTTGACCAATAGACCAAAGCGCTGTGTATTCAAAAAGCAAAGTTGTGTTTTTTTTTACCTCTCCAAAGGTGATGTTTATGAGTTTTTATAGGTTTCGTATGGCACAATCCTAGTAGGACTTTTACTTCTCCATGCAGAGTCCTCCTAGGATTCATACTCCTGAAAGATAATGCTTATCCTTCAACACCCCCCTCACTGCTTAAACCAAGTGAGATGGCTCTACCATGGTAGGTCTCTAATAGGACCGAGGTAATCATGGCTATACTGAGCCGCAGAGTAGGCCGAACTATCCTGAGTTCGGTTCTTCCTTTCACTACACCTTATCTCGGTTCTCTCATGTACAAACCATGGTGTGATTAGACCGAGCTACCGAATAGTAAGGTTCTGAGACCGGTCTAACTCTGAGGGGGTCTAACTCCAAAGCGTCTTTCAACCGGCCTAACTCCAAGTCACTTCCGGACCGGAGTAACATTACATTTCTCTTGGGCCGGAGTAACTTTGTACCTCTTTCGGGCCGGAGTAACTTTACGACCTTTTTACTCAGTCCTTCATATTGTGGGCCATAATGACCATTTCCCAACTCGGCCCAATTTTCACATAAATTACCCTCTCAGGTATAATATTTGATATAGGGGGAGATTTGCCCTAATTTGAATTAAATGAGTTATTTTGTATAAATAACGAGATTGACTTGGAAATTATGGAATTGAAGGAACATGTGATTAAATGGTGTAGTTGGACTAATAAATCATTCACCTATGGGAAAAGTTGATAAATTATCTGTTGATAGATTTATTTATTTGTTTAGAAATATCTGTTTTGAGCTATCGGTAGAGGATAACCATGATTGTTGTAAAAATTGCATGATGATTAGGTGAATTGAAACTAATCAATTGGATTATGTCATTGAATATGACGGTTGGAGTAAAACATTGAATATGTGATTTAATTGATCATTGTATATGACAACGTGTTTAAATACATTGTATATGTATCTTTGTTTGGGAGGAGATATGAGGTGTACTCCATTGTTTGAGAGGAGATAGGGGATGGACTCCATTGATAATTAAGTTGGCCAGAGTGTCCAGGGTGAAAGTTCCGAAATCTTATATACATTTGGGTGCCGGTTCCCTCGGACGTAGTTCCGTAAAATGGCAAGAAATGGAAGTGTATGAATAAATGTTTATGATTGAAGTGTTAATAAATGAGTTATAGTCTCATTTTGAATTGTTTAAATGATGATGAACTATGTCCATGAATTGGTTTGGATAAGTAAATATAAATAAATGGAAGTAGATTGAAATATGGATGTAAATGTTGATTGGTTATGCAAAGGATGTAAGTTGGTTGTCAAGTGTTACACATTTATCGATTGCTAATGTTTTAGTTAATTCTTATATGTTGTTTAGCATATCACTATTGGGTTTTGGCTTACCCTACTTGGGACACCATTTTTCAGGTACAGGTGATATATCGCTTCCAAGATCTTAGTTTGGGAGGTTTTGGAGTTAAAAACTCCCTTTTATTATTCGTTTGATGTTAAATGTAAAATATCAAGCCAAAGGCTTTATATGTAAAGAGTTAGAACTCTTCTTTTGTTATAACTAAGTGTTAACTTGGAAAGTTGTAAGCCCTTTGGACACTTATTTTTGTGGTTTAGAAGTTAGAGTTACATGCTATATTTTCAAGATTAATGTTTATGAAAATGTAATGCATGTAATATCTTTTGCAAAGGAAACTCTGATGAATGAAAATGTAATATTTCTTCTATGTTCATGGATCATATGAATGGTTGTCTTATACCTTATTTTGAGGGGCGTTACATTCACTAATTTGATGTAGAAGAAAGAAAAGAAAGTGTAAAGAGTAAAAATTTAATATAACTATCATATCATATCATCAATGACGTGTGATATTACCAATATCAATAATATATATGGAGATAAATTGTCAAACTGCTTATGTTTTCTTAATCTTGTGCCCTTATACCCTGCGACTTTTGATTTGGAAGGATTTCGTCAAGAAAAGACTAATTTATGGTCAACGGCGCCAGTGTATAACTACGAGCTAGTCTTTCTCCAATCATTGACTTCTGACTTCTGCGGACGAGGGAGAGGGCAGTGACTCATTCTCGAATTTTGTTAATCATATCTTCCAAGTAGAGATCGCTCTTAGTCATATTAATAGATCATTCTTCAGAGTATGGGACTTGCACTTGGAATTCCCTTGTTCCAGATTATGCAAACAATTTACATCATACAAAAAGCAAGAGATGGAATAAATACCAACAAGAATATTGGTAAAAAGAATTTCCCATTTGTAAAGTAACACAATAATCTCAGTTAATTGAAATTAACAATACATATTTTTGTCTGTTTTTTTTTTTTTTGGGTTATTAAAAAGAAAGTTCAATAACAAATGCATCATTGCAATGAGCCTTGAAAAGAAACAAATGCATCCATTGAATAACCAAAGAACAAATCTATCATATCGCTTTGAGATCTTTACAATTTAACTCAAAATTAAACAATTGATCAAAGTTTTTACCCTGGCAATACTATACTCACATCATCTGTAGTGGTTGAAGAGTAACCAACCGTTGCATTGCCACCATCCAACCCAGCTGCCCATCTCCGAAGAATCCTCAACAGCGACGCTGCCTTTCTTCTCCCTCTCCCCGTTCCCGTTCCCATCATTTCCCAAATCACCCTCTCAATTCCCTGCATGGTCGCCAGCTCCGCTACCGTCTCCCACCCCCCTTTCCTACAAATATTCACAAGCGTCGCGGCAGCACTCTCCCGAGCCCTATCAGTGCCGCCTCTCAACACCGCCGCCAATTTCTTAATCACATGATATGCGGCAGCAACAGCCACTAATCCGCCCCTCTTCACCACTACCTCGAGAATTGTAACTGCTTCTTCCGGTAGCCTGTCCATGAGTGCACCGGTCATCTCAACCACCCCTCCCTCAACTAACTTCCCAACCGCCTCCCTCTCTCCCGCCAAACTCAAAATCGCCACCATGGCATCCCTCTTTGAACTTGTGGGGCCTTCTCTTGCCAAATCTATCAATGCCTTGATGACACGTGTCTTCTTCCCCAGCTTCTTTCTATGAGCATGTACACCTGTCAAACTGAATATGGTTGCTGCGGCATTCCCTTTTGCCTCCCACGTCGCACCGGTCTGCAACACCTCAATAACGCCGTTTAAAACTCCGTCAGTCTCCATTATTCTCGTTTTATTGGCTTCGAGTATTGAAAGGTTGAGGATGGTTGTAACGGCGTTGACTTGCAGGTTCGGATTCTCCGAACCTAAACATTTCACAAGGTGAGGTAATGCCTCGGCTTGGGCAATGGAGGCTCGGCTCTCGGTATCTGCTTTGGCTAGGATCCGAAGCTCGTGGACGACACGGTTTGCGGTCTCTACTGACTGAGACGCTGTTAATTTGTTGATCAAAAATGACACCGTCATTTTGGTAGCCTCTAGCGCCGTCTTGTTATGAGTTAGGCCGTTGACTCTCTCATTTGGTTCTGTAGCTTCGAATGGGATTCTCTGTTCCCGGCACCACATGGCTATCAAGTTCTTCAACGCACAGTTGGGTGTGAGCTCCGTGTGGGCCAGAGTCTGACCTGTCTTTGGACACGTGTTGTGTCCAGATTCGATCCAGAGATTGATCGACCCGCGATCGTACGTCTGACCTGTGGACACAACCACCGGGTCCCGCATCAGATCGAGAGAGATCGGGCACCGGAAGTCCGCCGGAAAATTCATCTCCACCGCCGATCGCCGCCGCCTCCCCGCGGTCCTCGGCGTCGATGCTCCGTACAGCACGCATTTAGCGTAACGAACCAGGCCAATCAAAGCAATGAGATCGGATTTCGATTTCTCATGGGTTTGATTCTGAACTTCGTCTTCGAGATTCTCGATTTCGTCTCTGCAACTCGTTGAATCCCGTAATTGCAATCGATCGAAGATTCCAGAGAGCTTAGATTGATCAGGAACAATCTCTCTCTTGATTCGATGAAGCATTTTCAATACTTCACACCTGAGATTATCATCAGAAGGATCTAAATTTGTTTTCGTCATCGAACACTGTTTCCTGATCAGAGCAACCAGTTCTTCGATATCTTCGTTCAGATTCATATCCTTTGCAGGAAAAATATCTAGCAGAGTCGATAAATCAACGGTGAGTTCATGGAAAGTGTTTGAAATCGATTCGGTTTGCATGAGAAGCCATATCTTGCTTCCGCTGGAACAATCTTCAATCAAAGTCTTGACTCTCTGCAAAACTATATACAATTCTTCGAAGCACAACAAAGCAGAAGGCGAAAAACAGGTTAATTGATTACGAATCAATTCTTCGAACAGGACCGAAAGCAGCTTCGTCTTGCGAATGATCGAAGTCGAATTGCGCCGGAAGAGACATCGGAGAGGTTGGAGAGACGAGATTTCTAGTGAGATTGATACCAGAGATTGCAGCAAACGGTGGTCGGAGAAATTCGGGGACACGAAAGATCCGGCAGACGGCCGTCGCTTTCTTGGCGGGAAAGCGTGAGGTGAAACCGCCATCAAACGATCAAACACCAAACTGTAATCAAACACCCAAAAAACAATATGAATATGCGAAGCCTTTCAATTGAAGCAAGAACATAGATTAAATACTAGTATTGCAATTATTAAGCTTTGAACAAGTTGGTTTTTTTTTTTAGTATAAAAAAAAATGGTAAATGATTGGGAAGTCAGCTGTGTAATGGGTGGATTGAAATGGGTATGTGATAATGAGTTGAATCTTAGAGGGTAGAGAGAGGTATTTTGATTGGGTGAGGTTTGACTGGGTAAAGATTAACTGAAAGGGTTATGGTTTGGTTCGAAGGAAAAAAAACAGAGGAAGTTAAATTTTGTCCGTGGAAACTTCCAAGTAATCAGAGCCAATGATGGCTAGTTTTTTTAACGGCCGCCGGAAGACGGCAGCTTGGACATATGGTGATACTATAATACTCCTATATATATATATATTTAGCAGTCTGTGTGTAGGGGGTGATTTCTACACTATGAAGAATGATTGAATTTTGTAGATGAATAATGTGTTCTGAGAATTAAAGATCTGCACATAGTAACAAACGGTGAGGCTGTCCGATCGGGGTTTGGTCGGAAACCTCTCTGATGGTAAAGTCAGAGACTCAATGAGAGGAAGAAGAGAGAATACAAAGAGTGTATATATGTTAAAGTGTGTGGATTTCGAATCCCTTAAGAGTGAATAGTGTTCACCTTTTATAGGAGAAGATTGTTTGTCGTTCAAGTCCTCTCTCTGCCATCTGTCCAATGTGTCTTATTCGTGGTCGTCTTCCATTGGAGGAGGACGACCACTCTGCCTGACACTCGGGTGCAGGTCTATTTTGTTTGTCTCATTAGCGGACATCTCTCATTGGAGGAGGACGACCACTTCGCCTGCCATTCAGATGCAGGTCTGTCATATGTGCACCTTGTCCCTCTGCACCTCCATGTTTCCACGTTTTGTTCACACGGTGGGAGAGGAGCAGAGTTATTTGTCTCTTGTGGGCCCAAGAAAGATCTTCAGTGAATTGGCCTTCTTTGAGTTGGCCTACTCTAGAATGGTTGTCCAACCAGGAGGTCTAACATGTTGCTCAGCCCACTTCGGAGTGGTTGTCTGACCATTTAGGAGGTTCAACATGTTACTCAACCTACTTTGGAGTGGTTGGCTGCCCGTCCAGGAGGTTGCTCGACCCACTTTGGAGTGACATTCGTACATTGGGCCGAGCTCCTATGATTGTCTTGCTTTGGAGCAAGTGTTGGCCATAGGGCCGAGGTCCAACCTAGCTCAACCTCGGAGTGAGCATCGCATTGGGTCTAGCACCAAGACTTGATTAATTTTTACCCACTTCACTGTGTAAATTTGATGTCTTTATAATTATATGTTTAAATTTTTTGATCAATCTAATAAATGTAAAAATTGCTTAGCTATTTTTGAATAAGGGAAATCTTTAAACAATTGTAGAATGTTTGATCAATAATAAAAAAAAATGTTTAGGAGTTATCCGATATGACATTTACTTCTTTTTTTTTTTTTTTTAAATGGTAACAGTGTTGGAACTAATACTAGTATATGATCAAGTTTTGAATATATATATATATATATTATAGCAGTCTATATAAATTTGATGCCTTTATAATTATATATTTAAATTTTTAGTCAATTTAACAAATGTAAAAACTGTTTAGTAGTGGTCTGTATGAATTTGACGTCTTTATAATTATATATTTAAAATTTGGGAAAATTAGTTTAAGCTCTTTCTCCCATTTTTAATAATGAAAGAGATTCACAATATTTTTTTATAATGTCTAAGATCCCTCAACCCCACTCTTATATATCACAGAGAAATTTAAGAAGAAATGAAAGGGCTTCAAAAAAATATCTTCAAAAACTAAGCTTTGGTCTCTCTCTTCTCACTCTCTGCTTTTTCTTTCTCTGTCCTACATCAATGGCAGCTGGGTTGGTATCCAAAGGTGATTTCTCCACTGCAAAGTCTCTGGTCGTTAACCAGCCGTGTTGCTTCTGTTTACAGCCAGCTTCAAGGTCATCCATGGCCCCCGTAGCTTCGCGGCGACCTAGACTCTTCCGTTTGCATCACCGCCACTGCTTCTATCTCCTCTCACCTCAATTTTTAAAGCCATCTTGGGCTTTCTTCATCAGTCATTTACTTCTAGTTTTGCTTTTTCCATACTAAATCAACAGAAAGCAATTGCACAGTCTCTTGGGATTGTGTTAGTGATGCTTGAAATAATTTTATTTTATTCTAACACTCCGCAAGGGGATCATTTATCTTCAATTAACTAATCTCTCTGCTCTGTTTTATTATAATGTTTTTAAAAAATTGCTTTTTTCAATTCAATCTGATCAAATCTCTTTCTCGATTGTCTTTTAAATGAAATCCAAGCTCTATCTATCTGTAAAAGTTGGGCGTGGAAAACCCTAATTTTGATTTTCTCACTCATGATGCTAAACCCATTGGATTCATAGAAGTGGAATGAAGATAATAGAAATTGATTATCTAAATCTGGTGGAAGTGGCATTGTCATACTTGACACCTTCATGGACAACTCTTGTTGCTGGGACTTTTGTGGTTGTCATTCTCATGCTCTCAATCTATCTACTTTTCAAACACCTCTCCGCTTACAAAAACCCTGAGGTCTCTTCTCTCTCCACCTCTTCTTTTCCATTTCAATGATTAAACTTTTGTTATACCCTCTATTTTATTTGAATTTTTCTGTTTTGGGTTTTTTTTTACAGGAGCAAAATTCTTGATTGGGGTTATCTTGATGGTTCCTTGCTATGTTGTTGAATCAGTGAATAATCTTGAGTTTTTGACTGATTTTGAGATGATTAAAGTTATTGCTTTTATGATCCATTACTTGAACATGTATATTGATCACTATATATATATATATATATACATATGCTAGTGATTACAGAAAAAGAAAAAGTAAAAAAAAAAGGACGGTGCTTTTTGTCTGCACAAAGACCCTTCTCTATATTTTTATATAAATGGGTTTTTTTTATAGTTTTTTTGTTTATATGCTTAAATGTCACAATAGAAATTGGCTTTGATGATTAATCCAGAGAAATTTGTGAAAGGTTCAAATGTTTTTGATGTTAGTTAAGAGATCCAGAGAAATTTGATGTTAATCTAGAGAAATTTGTGAAAGGTTTAAAGGTTTTTTATGTTAGTTCACAGATCTAGAGAAATTTGGTTAAAATGAACATAGAGAAATTTAAATTTTCTATGGTTTGTAAATGAATTCAGAGAAATTTGAATTTGAACCCAGAGAAAATTGGTCAAAATAAACCCAGAGAAATTTGAATTTTCTCTAGGTTAAATCCAAAGATATTCTTTGGGAAGTCCAGAATTTCTTCAGGAAGAATTTCTGTCATGACCCAAACCCGCCCCTAAAAGTTTGGTTCCTGACCGGCTTGTACATAGGCCTCAAAACAGAATTTCAAAAAAATACTTAACCAAATACGGGGCCTTAAGCGGAAGCAATATTAATAAAAGACAACATCCATTGAGCTTGTGCATACATGATGGCTTAATTAGATTTAAGCATTTAAATACACTTCCATATATACATGTACATTCACAGAATTTATATAGATCTCACACACACTTACATAAGACTTAATAATTTATATGACTCCCAACACAAATTAAGGCCTCCACACGGAGGCATACTCCAAGTGACTTGGCAGATAGGCGAACCTCAATACAACTCTAGTGTCAATCTCTGATGGCTCACCTACAGAAATATACATAAAATGGGATGAGCAAGGCTCAGTGAATAATAGCAATGTAAGGAGGTTAAGTGAATGAGCATAATCTTAGAGAATGCAAATAAGCATATTAACCATCCACAAATCTTATTCATAACTACATCTCAAAGCGGCCTCAGGCCCACATGTGATACAGAACGGCCTCAGGCCCATTTATGATACAGAACGGCCTTAGGCCTACAAATAATACAAAACGGCCTCAGGCCCATATAAGATACAGAATGGCCTTAGGCCCACAGATAATACAGAACGGCCTCGGGCCCATATAAGATACGGAATGGCCTTAGGCCCACAGATAATACAGAACGGCCTCAGGCCCATATAAGATACGGAATGGCCTTAGGCCCACAGATAATATAGAACGGCCTTAGGCCCACATAACGAAAGCTGTCCACACATTGTAAGGTAGGTAGAACATCGACATGTACACTGCCTCCCTTGGCCTCTGGCCATGAATCATAATCAATTTAAATCATAACGGCCTCAGGCCCACTTTTATTAACAGAGACAGAATAACCTTAGGTCCATAACAGTGCCATTGTTCAATCATGCCCGTTAATCCAATCAAAGCATAATAGTAGTTGTATATGTCATTCTCAACAACCATATATAAATCATAAGCACCAGAAGTAAGTATAACATATCGTTACACTACTATTACTCACAGTGATAGGTCCTGGTAATAATGGGGCAATGTTCTCGTCTTGACCTATAACACAATGCACAAAATATAATATGAGATATAACCAACCTCTTTCTTTGCTCTTTAATTAATTAGCCATGGTGGTTCTAAACTCATTACTCCTCGATAAGTTGAAGTCCATGTCTAAGAACATAGGAGGAATCGATAGAAAAATGGTTCAGATGAAGAAACAGTACAAACCGGTAAACAGAAAGTGAACAATCGTCACTAATTTCGGCATAACTATTTCTGTACTTAGAATTTGGGAGTGAGATCACCACCATTGGAAACTAGACTTCCGGGGCTTGATTTTAGGCTCAAGAATCACTCAAAACGGAGTCCAAATGCAAAAGATATGCTTGTTCAAAGTTGGCTGGACAGAGCTGTCCCCGCACGTGCGGGACTACGTGCCTTTTTAGCAGAATCAAACTTGGTTTTGGGACTGGACTGCTGCACGTGCAGGAAGACTCGCCGCACGTGCGGCTCTGGGCAGTTTGCAGTCCGAAAATGGCTGTATAATTTGGAACCTCTCATTTTCAAAATCAAACCTCAATTTCATGCAAATCAAAGCCCAAAACCCTTTAATACATGATAAATTTCACATTATTAACTTCCCTCAAACATCATAACCTCAAAATACTACTCAATTCCCAAGCACAAGAACAAAATTAAGATTTAAAACACAAGAGCATAAAGTAGCCATGGTTTGGAGTTCAAAGCTCACTTATATGGTGGAATCCTCTTTAGCCTCTTTAAGAACCATAAAATTCTTACAAGAAACTAAGTTGTAACATAATTCATGCCATATTCAAAGATTCAACATTTTCTTACTTGAAGAAACAAGACCCATACATACAATCATAGATAACCCAAGAAACTCACTCTTTCGTTTATGATCTTCAAGGATTGAGAGGGAGAATCTTACCTTAAGCCTTTCCCATCACTTATTCATATA